CCCAGAGGCAGTAAATAAAGAGAGAAAAGCAGAGGGCCTAGAATTGAGCCCTGCGGGACACCATAAGGCATTGAAGCAGCAGATGATTCAGAGTCACTAATTTTCACTGAAAATGTTCTCTCCTCCAAGTAAGACCTAAACCATTTAAGAACAGTGCCATCAATACCAACAATGTGGTGTAATTGCGATATTAAAATGTCATGGTCTACTGTATCAAAGGCAGCAGTTAGGTCAAGTAAAATCAGAACAACATGGTTACCAGAATCACATGCAGAAAGGATGTCAATAAAAACTCTAATTAAAGCAGATTCTGTGCTATGAAGAGTTTTGAAACCTGACTGAAAAACCTGGATTATCTTAAAACAAGTCTGTTTCTTTTAGCAGGGAACACACAGTAAGTAGAGACTTGTTGATTCTATCACTGTTTAAAGTAAATGACTAAGATCTAAAGATCTAAGATCTAAAGCTATATCTAAAATTCACCTTATCAGTCACAAAATTTTCTTCAATCCAGCAAATGTTTGGATAGTCACCTGGAACAGCTGATTGTTTGATGAATTTATGGGATTATAACCTGCTAAGGTTGATAACATGTTAGTCTGTATGTTTTCTTTTGTTCTTTATGTTCCAACTTTATGTCTTCATAATGAAGGGTTCAGTTAACACAAAACAGAAAACCTGTATTCAATTCAATTCAGTTTATTTATAAAGCACCAAGTCACAACATACGTTGTCTCAGGACACTAAAAAGAACAATCTAAAGAAGAAACCAGCAGATTGTGTTGAATCACTTCATCACAGTCTCCCATCCTGAGCAAACGGTGGAGAGGAAAAACTCCCTGCTWATCAGGAAGAAACCTCCAGCAGAACCAGGCTCAGGACAGGAGACCATCTGCCTCGACCGGCTGGTTGAGGGACAGGAAAGAGACACAGACAAACACAGAAGAGCTGGTCCAGGACTGGCCCAGGTGCACCTTCTTCTGGAAGAGAAAGAAAAAACATGTTTTTGATAGAAATATTTACAATAAACATGTAGAGAAAAGAGACTAAAGACAACAGCAGAGTGARGAAATGTGCTCAGTTTGTGCTCCAGCAGTCTAAGTCTATAGCAGCAGAATTAATTAACTATAATAACTAAGGGATAATTCAGGAANATATATATAATTTCTGATATAATGTTGTTTGCTCGCTGTTCAGTTCATATACTGATTGGATCTATTCCTGCTGTGCCTCATAGACCAACACAGGTGAAATGGCAGCTGATAGTAGCAAGCTGTTACAGAAGAAGCGGTGAGAATTAAACATGTTTTATTTTACTTTTCATCAGAGCTTATCTGCAATGTGAGCAGGCAAAGTTTAGTAAAGGTTTAATCCTTATTTTGTTTCAGGAAACTATCAGAAATCCCTGGAAACGTATAAAGAGATCCATCACAGGTTTCCAGAAAACGAGGAATGTAAGTCTTTTTTTGTTTGTCTCACAGTAGGAACCAGTGATCCACCAAGCAAATTAAAAAAAATCTGTCTGTGCTTGTGTGAAGGTTTGCAGTTCCTGATTAAGCTGTGCACCAGCATGGATCTGAAGGAAGTCCAGGAGTATGCCACCAAGCTGAAGAAGGTAGAGAAGATGAAGGAGATCAGAGAGCAGGTGAATGATTGGCAGCACTTGTTCTGTTGGGCTCTGTCACCTGTTGCTGTGTTGATGTGACAAATCAGACTGAGGCCAGATTTACTAAAACAAAACATTTAGCTAAATTTTGCTCATCACCTGCTGTCGATATCTAGTTCATTTCAGCATCAGAATAACAATCATTTTTATTTAACATATTTCAAAAAAAAAAAAAAAAGAATAACAATCATTTTTATTTAACATATTTCATTTTCTTCTTGTTTGTTAACATTTAGATATGAAGCCCTGTCTTTTCACGTTTTCTAATCTTATGGTTTAATTTCCTGAATATAAAAAAGCCACAGTGGGATTTTATACACATTTTGGACAGTTTAATTGTAGCTACAATATGTGACCCATCACATCGAAACGAGGATTAAGTCTAAAAGTGGTATAAGGAGAAATAGGCAGATATAGTGTTTTGATTAAAATGTTAACAAAAATTGCATTTTGTTAAAGTATAATGCCTTATCAATGTATCATTTGAATGAACTGTCTGAAATATAATCATAAAACTAAATCTTTAGCACTTTTTTGAGGAGTAGCAACAAAAAACCTGATTTTGAGGAAAAACGACATAAAATTTTGAGATTTTCCCTGTGAGTTTGCAAAGTTTTGTTTCTTTTCAGTTGGGAAATCTCAACATTCAAAAATAATTTGAAGTTTCCTGTTTATAAGGACATCAAAAATTCCTCATTAAAAGGACATAAAATTTGGATTCAGACCAAATATTTATGTATTATTGTAACCAACAAGACAAATTGAGTCATATATATGGATTTAATTATGATATCAGAATGATCCAGGTATCAAAATGTAGCTTTTAAAGCCAAGATTCTGAAAATATAATGAGGTCATTTTGACCAAATTTGACTTAATCCTCATTTCGATATGATGGGTCACATTAGGGCTTCCACGATTAATCGATTAATCGACGACTAATCGATTATTAAAATAATCGATGATTAGTTTAATAATCGATTAATCGTTTTCTTTTTTTTTTGTTCTTTACTTTGTTTTTCTC